CGCCGGACAGAAGACTCGCATCTCTAACCATACTCAACCACTTAACCGGTGGACCTAACAATATTCTTCTTCTGGCCTCAACTTTTAGTGTTTCAACTTAAATCACTACACTAGCTTTAAATTGAAGTTCAAGAGGCCAATAAACCACGCAACCTATTTAACAATTAAATTGTTACAAAATATATGTTTTGAAGAACTTAAGTCATTTTGATCCAATGACACCACATTATCCCTGGACTCCGTATCTATACTGAGCATCCATTTGGTTTTCAGTTGGAATCAAAATTAAAATGGTCCATTCCCATAATCTGTTTGGTTCAGACAAGAATAACAATGGGAATTAAAATCAGCAGGAATGAGATTTAATTCCCAAGGAAGGAACAGAGAATAATCATTCCCTTAAATGCAGAAATGCCATTCCAGCAGAAATAGTCCAGGATTGGGATTCTGATTCCGCCCAACCAAATAGTTAGAATCGGAATAACTCATTCCAATTCCAATTCCGCCCTGAGTGTTTTTGTTACCGTGAGCAATAATAATCATGCAATTAAGTATACAAGTTATAGTAAAACGGTAACATTAAAACAATGTATTTAATACCCAAATAATTTGTCATATACTCATTTATATAAATTAAGGTACTTCTCTCCAATCCCCAACATCTTTAACTTATTAGATTCATTAGTTTACAGTTGATTGATTATACTCATTCTCATGTATGTTAATACTCTTCAAACGACAACCACACCCATAAACAACAAAATTTGAAAGCCATGAAAGAATTGGGCACCCCTTTCTATTTCCACAATTATCAAAATAGAGAGACCATGTAGCACCACAGTTATTGTAGTATGCCCATGATCATTTGATCTTTGTATATGTATTTGTTACCAGAAACATTTGGTCTGAGGCTGATATTAAAGATTTTTTAGAACCAAAAATCAATCTCTTAGATAATAACCTAGCCACCTATAGATTAGACTGTTTTGACCAGTTAAAGAAATAGTTTGGGTTTACTCTTCGTAGAATTTAAATTGGAAAAGTCATCTATTAATTGCTTCGAAGTTCAAATTTCAAACAAACCAAGGCAATTACTTTTTCTCTAACAACTACTTAAAATGATCAAATTGAAGGAGAACTTATGAATTTGGTCAGGCATAAATTTAGTAAAAGAATGACTACTGAATGTACTCAATAAAGTTCTTTTTGTTGGATAATTTCAAATATGTAACTAGTAAGCTACATAACATAGAATAACATTTATCGAGTTTGGTGTCTTTCAACACTCGAGTAGTAATGGAACCATTACTAGATGCTCAAGTAATTATACATTAGGGAAAACAATGTGCTCAATGCTACAAAGAGAGGAGTGTCAATGGACCAGGTTTGGATTGAACCCAGTCCAAGTCAAAATCAATTTGAACGGATTGAACGGTCCAATAAGATATTGAATTGGATCAGTCTAGACTTAATGATCCAAATCATTTATTGGATTGGACCTGATCCATTTGTAATTGACTCATATTGGATCAAGTTGGGTTGAGCTAATATTTGGTCCATTGACAGCCTTAGCTAATGGAGCCACCATTATAATAGTGGATGATTAATAAATTGGGATTGAATCCCACTTTGGTTGGGGCTGGGAGGTTTTAGGGTTTAGGCGATGGGCTAGACCCCCATTTTTTAGTCCATGTGATTAGCATAATAATAAACAGCATCGCCATGACCCAATGTTGGTCACAGCTATCTAGGGGTATTAATAGGAGTAAACTGGATATGAACCTAACCTTTGGTATTTTTTTTTTGACAAAAATTTCGCTACTCTCATATTTGAACATATTCTTATAATTGTCAATTTAAGTGATGTTTGGTATCATTGCCGTTTTTTTAGACAAGGACACACCTGAAAAAGTAACTCTAGGTTATACGCATATTTTATATTAAAATTTATATCAGCAAATAAGCACCAGATAGACAAAAAGGTGAAAATATTGTTTTAATGATGTTTTTTTTTTTTTCTTCCCAAATGTTGCTCTCACAAAATTCAAGACATTTAGTGTTGATTGACTGTTTGAAAACAGTCAACCATGAGAGAGAAAAAAACAGCTACGTGTCACAAACATGCATGGTGGAAACGCCTTAGAGAAATGACTGCAGTGCCAAACACTGCCATGAACAATGTATTAAGTGATTCAAAATAAGGAAACGGCAATGCAAAAGTAAATGAATTTAAAATGTTTTATTCAATCCCTCCTTATTTTGTACTAATCAGAACTTATATAATGCACGCTCTTTGTTAGCAAAGAAGGATCACATTAATTCCAAACATGCATTTTTGCATATTTATCTGTTTTTATATTTTTATTTATGATTTATTATGTCACAAGCCTAAACGGTCAAACTGTTGATCCGCCACGAGCCAAGATGGTTGATTTGCTAACGTAATACAACCCATTCTTTATATGCAATGTAGATTAATGCTAATTATCTGTTTGAATTAATTGTTTTAATGTAACATTAGAATTTGAAAAAAAAAAACAAAAAACTGGACTGACTTCAATAGTTTACTTTTTTATGGATATATCCACGAATCCTTTCATAGAGTGTCAAATTAATAGGAAATTAAATTTGGAGATAATTATTAATAATAATATAAAATATCTTGGTCAGGAATGAGCCAGCCAAATTAATTGATTTGATATTATTAGACGTATAATCTTATGTTAATAATTGTATTTAGTCATTTATATCAAAGAGTTTTTTTTAATATAATAAATATAACATTGAATTAATACTAAATTAAGTGAAGAGATAACTAATAAAATTTTAGTTAATAACAATTGAATTCCTAAAGGCAATTGAGTTACTAATGTTTTTTTATTACTTTTACAGTTTTACCTCTCAAAAATTCAAAAAAAAAAATACAAAAATTTAGAGGGGTCTAGCCTCTAGGAGAGTGGAGAGGGGCTGTTGAGATAAACACAAATGCATTTTTGTACCCATTTTACAAAATCATATATTTGGTCCCAGATCTAAAGAATATCGAAGTTGTAATACTCTTAGAATGAAATTGTTTGGATTGAATTAAAATCTAGGTCCAAACCCTAAGAGGAGGTTGTTTAGCCAAAGGAGATTGTAGCTACTATACTCTATTAAACTCTCTCACCATGGTATATATTCTCTACAAGTTGTAGCTCAACATGGAACTTTTGGCAAGTGCTACCAAATGTATAATACATGTCATGAATTATATGGATATTAACAATGCATCTTTCATTCACCTTAATATACATAAAAAGAAAAAAATGATTTATTCATCAATAAGCTAGCGTGTTTTAAAGATAACATATTAATCATTCATGTATTCATTTTAACCAATCCGGTCTTTTACCAATCAACAAGGTGTATTCATTCTAGAAACTGAATTGCACACACACAGAGAAAGAAAAAACTATGATTCCTATGAATTAATTGAATAAAATGGAGATATAAGATATTCCTTGTCTCTCGTTGCCCTATAAGTATGGGCAAAACCCAAGGAATTTGAACTCTTGTAATTGTCAACTAAGAAAGAAGCAATTAGAGGTTCGTAGAGGCGTAGAAGAAGTGGAATGGTAATAGAAACAAAGGTAAATCACACAAGATTCTGGTCTCTGTTTCCAAATGGATTCAAAGAACCATCCATCTAATCTCAAATTCTCGATAATAAAAAGAAGGTAGAAGTTTATGTTTAGAGAGTTGACCAAGTGACAACCCGGACCCATCGTAAATGGGTCAATTTCAATGATACGCAAATCTTTTTTTTTTCTTTTTTTCTTTTTTTTTTAAAAAAAAAGTGAAAAGGATTGGTGGGATTTGACCCAATGCATTTGCAAGAAGAAAAAGAAATTGAGATGAGTAGCTTGTGAAACCAGCTCAAATGGTACAAGTTGACATGGAAGAAGGCGTATACAAAGGAAGCCAATTAAGGATTAATATTGACATCGCTCCAAGTTTGCTCTTCTAGAAACCCAACTGGTTTTATCTTGATAGGATGGATTGGAATGAAAAGAGTTTTGTTCATGAGCTATTGCTCTGTGTCCCCTCCGCCCCCGCCCCCACTCTGGCCCTTTCTCTACATTGGAAAACGTATGGCAACTGTGGGAAGGCAGGAATTGAAGTTGGGTGTTGACGTGTTACGAAGAGGAATGTCAAGCAGCTCTCTCCTCAAATGGAGACCTTTGTCTTCTCTTCTGTTTGAAAAAATAAATAAATAAGAGAATATGGTGGCCTGGTGTGGGGCTTGTTGTTACGTTGTAGGTGGAGGGCCCCATTAAAATCAAAGACCCAATCACCCAAGTCGTTTTCAATCAGGACTACATGAACTGTTTCAAGCCCATGAAGATGAAGAGAAATCGACCCTCCAACGTCCAACCAATCAATCACCAGCCGCTTACTTGTCCTGAGTAACGAAGAATGCAACGCTTCTCATCCAGTAACCGCAGCAGGCAGCACTAGCACCACTAATCTCATCATCTTCAGTGCAAACCAGAGCTTCACTTCATTTGAAAACCTTTTCTCACCAAATTTCATCTGCCTTTGGTTTCTCAATGTCAGTGTTATCAACATTAATTCAACACTCCCTACCATCTGTCTCCACTCTCAATCAATCAATCCCTCCCCTCTCCTCCCCCTCCCTCTCCCACCACATGGTACTCAGTTTTAGGGTTTTCTCCATTCCCTTTTCCCTTCCCTCCCTGTTTGGCAACCAGTTACTAAAGACTCTCTCTCTCTCTCTTGGGACAATACCTGCATCTTCTGGTGGGATTCGGATGATTGCCACGTGCATGTTAGCTTGTGCTGGGATATCTAGTTATTATTATTCAAAGAGGGTCAAAGAAGTTCGGTTAAATTAAACCACACAGGTTGACATCTAAACCCATGATAAAAAAATCCAAATAAATTATTCATAAACAAAGCATAATTAAGTTAAAAAAATTAGGGTAAAAGTGAAGTGAATATATAAGAAAAATTCAAAACTCTCTCCTTTTATTACAAGAAGATATGTATAAATACATATTTGACATTTGATCCACCATTGAGATTACAAAGGGGAAAAGGGCAAGAAGAAGATAAAAAGGAGAGGCAAAAAGAGATGGGGAGCAAAAGGTGAAAAGAAGTTGGAGACACACTTCTCACAGTGGTGGGTCTCACACTCACGCAGAGCCAACTTAGCACTGCACTCAATGGGTTTGGGTTTGGGTTTGGCTTGACTCGCTCAATCTCGGTCCCGTATGGATTGGAATATTGGATTGGACTGGACATGCAGAATTACAGATACAGGAGTCGAGTCGTGGTGGTGCAGTAAACAGTAGTAAGCTGTACCGAGTTTGGTAAATGGATCTGAATTGAGTTGACTCATTTCGGATCAGAGGCAAGCTGCCAGGCGGAGGTGGCGATCAGAGGCAAGCTGCCAGGCGGAGGTGGCGATAAGGGGCCTAGTATGCCAACCAAGCATAAGACACCCGTTGTTCTCTTCCACCCTATAACCATCCCCACCTGCAAACAAGGCTAACAACATGCTAGCTTGCTTGAACGCGTTAAAGCCTAGGTGGACCGGAGAGAACCCGGACGATCCCAACCGATTCCGCCACTGCGTGAGGGCCTCGTGCCTCTCCACTCGGTCCACCCCTTCGCAAGCCACCACGTTGCAGATCTGTCGCCCCAAATACAACTCCGACATCACCTGGTCCTGACTGTTGGGCGGAGACATCGCACACCCTTCCAGCGAGTCGAACAGGGTGGAGTAGTAATGCAGCGCTTCCGTAAACCGGTCCAAGAAGACCGGCCCGTTGTGGTTCGCCTCTTGTTCGACGATGGTCACGATCTTCGGCTTCATCTCCTTGATCGACGACAGCACCTTTTCGATGGCACCCGGTCGGGCCAGCAACCGGTGCAATTCGAACACCGAATTGACCGCTACGGCCTCGTCTTCGCTCGGCCGGAGGTCCAGCATCGATGCGTCCAGGTCGGCCAAGCTGTTTGCAACGAATCCTCTGTACTCGAATTTTACGTGTATGCTCTTCGCCAACTGGGCTAGCTTCCACCCCACCTGCTGTAAAGCGTCGGTGTTGTCCTGTTGAGGAGGGCCGATACCGGTTAATCGGAAGGTAGGTGGGCCCCCGGGACGAAGAGCGAGAGCCTGCATCAAAGCCGGCCACTGCATCCCCTGTTTCATGCTGAAATCTATAACGTGCACCCGGCTTTTTCCGGCGAAGGCCTCGAGAATGGCTTGATTAGCTGTGAAATGGGCGAATTTCAAGTACGGGCAGGTTTCGTAGAAGTGCATCTGAAGCATGTCGGAGAACGACGAATCGAGGGAATCTTGAGGGTATAACTGATAAATTCGACGAGCTAGGGCTTCGGCGAAGTATGTAGCCACCTTTCTCATAGCTCCTGCTTGAGACACGGCGAGCAACCCAATCTGTTTGACGAGTGCTTCGGCCATTTTCAGGTTGTTCTGTTGTACGGCCTCGGCGCAGGCCATCAGGGTGTGGACGAGTCGGACCCCGGTCTCTTGCGAGTCGACTAGTACGACCGGCCGTGCCAACTCGGTCGAGACCCCGCTAGTAACTCCTACAGCAGCAGGAGCGGCAGATGGCGACGACGATGAAGATGCGGACGTCGACGTCGATGTGGGTTTCATCCGTTTGCTCGCCGGTTCCACTTGGCCGCAAATGGCACCGCCGGGGATTGCTCTGAGATCGTAATCCGTAGGCTCATCGTAGATTCGAGGCTGCTGGGGATGAATTTGTTGTTTCGGCTGCTGCTGCTGCTGCCTGGAATTGGGGAAATCAATGGTGACCATGGAGGAAGATTCAGCAGGAGCGAGCCGCGGATCGTCGAGGACACGAGGCAGAGAGGGCTGAGACGGAGTAGGATCAAAAATGGGGGGAGCGTTAAGCTCAGAAAGCATGCTCTCAAGCCACGTAGCAAGATCAGATGGATTGTAATGAACGGTCTCTGAAGCCAGATGGTTAAGCCCATCCTCCTGAGCACTACCCATCACTATGTCCAGCTGCTCCAGCTTCTGTGCCACCTCCGCCATGTCCGACGACCTGACCTTGTAACCCAACACAGCCAACAGTTCATCCACTCCGGCATCCTGCTGCTCCGCTTCGTCCCACATCTTACACTTCCCCGCCTCCGCCATTGAATAAACCCCACCACCACTAGTACTCTCTTGGAGCTCTCTTTTCATCTTCCGTCTTTCTCAAAAGCTTTCTTTTCAAAACCCACACAGCGAGAGGGATTACGCAGAGGCTCTTGCTCCGTTTCACTAGGTGAAGAAATGGAGATTCTGATCGTATTATGGTGAATAGCTTGGTTGTTCCGCTTCTATCACCAGAAGGCCAGAAGCTAATAAGAGACTCTCGTGACGGGCGCGGGTTCCAACGAACCCACAGTGAGCGAGTCCTAAGAGATAAGAAAGCCCCGGCACCAGCCCTCGCTCTCTCAAAACCCAAAATTAATTAAAAATAAAAATCAATTTTCTCTCTCTATCTCCTCTCTCTCTCCCCACTCATTTCTATATGCTTCTCTGATCGAACCAACCAACAACCCCCCCCCCCTTTCTCTCTCTATAAAGCATGAAGGAGCCGTAGAGATACCGCAACTCTTACAGATCCACTGGGCTTGCCACCTGTCACTGACACGCACTACAGTTAACCCAGATTAAGCACTGTAGTACACCAGTAGAGAAAAGAGATGCCTTACACTGTGTAATTAATGTGCATCATCCGTAATAGATGTTCAACTCCCAACCCTACACGTGTCCCAATTCCCAGGTGGGTGGACCACCACTGCACTCTAATAGGATCAATGATGAGTATAATAAGGGTATTGGTTCAAAGACTTCAGGTGCAATGTATGTAACACTATTGGTTTTGTGGATAGAGATGAAAAAGGCAAAATAAAAGAGGGAAAAGAGAAGAGAGAAAGGGGAGAGAGAGAGTATGTGTGTAATAATGATTGATTAAAATAATAATATTGTAGGGTTGCCTTATAAGAGGGTGGCCTGGCCGTATGGCCCCGCCGTCAACGTCTGTTTTGCAGGTGGGCCCACCGGAACCTATGGAAATAGAAGATGCACTGTTAAAGTTAACGGAGTTTGTAAGGGCTTGGCCATCCGCCGTTCCCATCAGATGTGACGTGATGCCTCCTTTCGAACAAGGAGGAGGAGGAGGAGGCGACGCCACAGCAGCAACTACCCAATAACCTCTCCGTCTACCACCTCACAGCAGCAGTGTTGACACGTGTTTAGATTCTTGACCTGATGTGGTCCCCACTAGTTCCTTCTTTCGCCGGATTCCGGAAAGCAAGTTAAGTGAAGTGAAGTGCTTGGGTTTCGGCGCTCTTTGCCTGGCGAGTGGCGGCTTCTCTTTCTCTGCTTTCACTTTTTCCTCCTAAATTTTATAAAATAAAACATTTTATTTTTATTTTTAAAAATTAATTATAACAGTTTTCTAAAGAGAGACACGACTGCGTGTTGACCGGGTAGTGATCCGATGCACGCGCTTCCACCGGTACCTCCCACGTTTTCATCAATGATTGGTTGTGAAAAAGGAAAAAGGTTCCCAGGTGAGATTTGAGAGCACGCTCATTGCCTTTGTGCTTCTTTAACGTTGTTTAACCGTTTCAACTATAGCCCACTATCAATAATACTATTAGCATTTAGCACTAAAGGGGCGTTTTTTTTTTTTCGAATTTTGAGAGGAGAAAAATTGGTGAATGAGATTTTGGTTTTCATTGATCAATAATTTTATATATTTTTTTTAGATTTACGAGGAGATTAAGAAAATTTTATTTTCTTAGATATCAGTTATTCCTGTAAGTAATACCTATCTTTTAGGTGGATAAAAATAATTTTTAATTTTTTCAAGTAAGAGAAAAATCATCAGCATTTGAATAGAACAAAAATACTTTTTTAATAATAAATTTTTATGACTAAAATGACATTGCCTTGTTTATATAAGAAATAAAAAAAATATAAATAAATACACTTGCTCGAGTAAATATTTCCTAAAAAAAATTATCCACATAATTACACTTAACTGGATAAACAAATTACCGAAAAGCGAACCGGGCCCTCAAATAAAAAAGGATAATTGAAGGATCACATTTGGTTAATGTGAGCCCTATGAGTTAAACGAAAGGATTTTGATTTGACAAAAAGAGGCCATTTGTCTGGGTCCCAGCGCAGGGAAAATAGTAATATAGTAGGTTTGAATTATTAGCTCCTAAACACCTTATTAATTATTAATTAATATTATAACTGTCAATCAATTAAGCAATTAAATTAAGGTGAACAAAGTACGCATTGGAATCTCCCCATATTGTACTAATATAGATTAATTAGGGTTTTTTAAAGAATTAATTAAATCTCCAATTTGTGCGGAGCAATTTCGCATGTGGGGTGGGTATCCATTCTCCTCGTGGAGGTCACTCTAGAGGGTGCCCGGCCCTCACATGAGGAGTGGTATTTTGGTAATTAGGATGGAATGTCGGGAGAATTTTAAATGGACATGAAAGGAGGTACGGTTGCTTTATGGTTTTTCTCTTTTCCGTTTATGGCAAGCGAAGAGAGATTGATCATCCTTCCCACCCTCATAAGTAATGTTAAGGGTCAGACCAGAGAGATCGAGAGAGAGGGGAGAGGAGAGAGAAAGAGTGGTGAGACTCGTACGGAAAGAGAGAGAGAAAGAGAGGGGAAGAAGAAGGGATGACTCGTGATCATCTTGGGAAAGGTCGTGCTTTTATTTTATTTCTTTATTATTTAGGGTTCTTAGGAAAGATTCTTTACTTTTGCCCTTATTTTCATCGACAAATTCTCAGCCTGTAATTTTCTAACCCCACGAGGCAAGCTTTTCCTCATTTTCCAGCTATTTCTCACACAACATTTAAATTAAAGAAAATGCGAAAAAGGAGGGAGAAAAGGAAACTCACTCACTCGACTCTTGTACTTGGCCTTGGGGGAATATTGTGTTCGGAGGGTGTTTTAGTCATTTTAATGAAAGCCTACGGTGTACAGGGGTACGAGAAGCTGATGAGAATGGATGGGTGAAGAAGTGATGGTAATGGTGTCAAATCGGCTGTCAAAAGGGGGAGGAGATGAACTGGAGTAATGTACAATTATAATTGGGGAGTTGAAAGGGGTAGGACTCCCATGGTCCCATCTCTACCACCATCTTCTCTCGGCCGTACGATAGGACATCCATCATGATATCAAGCATGTGAGGTGGGGGCCGTGGTGAATTGGAGGGTGGGGCTGCACACTCATGCTTGAATAGTTGTCCACGGTACAATGGAGAGGGAAAAAGGGGGCAAAGCCTATAGTGTTGTGATAATGACCACCCATTGGGCCTATTGCAAATGTTGGTCCACATGGGCTCATGGTAGGACCCACTGTTTGAATTGGAGTCTGGAGAGAACAAGGAACCCATTGAACAGACCCTTTTAAAATCATGAACATCCATCCTATCTCATGGGGGTTTAGGATCAGAAAGCCATTACCCCAGGCCACAGAGTTTGGTGTTGAGTTAATGGTAAACTCATTTAATTTGCTCTTTCAATGGCTAGGGATATTGTGAATTGTGATATTCCAATCTGCATGCAAGGTTTCATTGGTTGATTGACTGGAAGGAAGTGGCTATTCAAGCGTGAGAAACGCAGAAAGCTACTTTAATTTACAATTAATGCTGTGTTTGGAGAATTAGTTTTGATGAATTTTATCGTAATCATTTTTAGGTTTGGATTTATGAAAATTGTTGGAATTAATTTTATCATAATCTTTGAAGCAGCTAAGACAAGTTCATTTTGAAAAAGAATTATTTTTGGCTTAAAATTCGTTCTTCAAATAGTGATTCTTTGGATCAAAACTTCAATCAAATATAGGCTTATGTTACTTGGGATTATATCAACTACTTTTTTTTTTTTTTGTTTATGTGGATGACTAATGTGAATATGACTGATACAAGAGAAAACGGCAACAACAACAATTTGGGATAGGATCAAACTGAGAAGGATGGGTAGGGCCCCAGTGAGTTGGCTTGTTTGAATTGGGCTGAAACTAATCAATCCAAATCAACTCACCCCCCTTTCTGTCCATCTTTCCCAAGTCATGATGAATTGATTCTATTAGGTTAGTCGGGTTATTTGACCAATGCTCATGATCATGGTATATATATCTTCTAGACCTAATGGATTTTTATAAAATAGAAGAACAAAGAAAGAATGAAATAAATCAAAATTGGGCTTGTAACGTTGGCTGTTTGTTTCAAGAATCACCACCTTTGGTCATCCACTATTAAGCAACTCAAGTTGAGGGGGTAGAGATGGCAATAGCCAAGACCACCATCAAACCATTGGAGGAGCTTTGGCATATATGTTAGTGATTAGATTATCATTATATTCAACCCAAATGAAATGAATTCCCAATAGGAATTAATCATAATAGACTAGATCTGCACCACTCTGAGATTAGGTCTGGGATAAGGTTAGGTTCAATCAAATTGGGTTTAGGCTGGCCCCAACCCATAATAAACCTGAACTATTACAATCCTTGGGACCATGAACTATAGGACTACATACACTTGTATGATTCCACCTTTTCTGTTGGGACTTATTGATGTATAATAACAGAAAAGAGAGAAGGAGAAACACTACCAGTTGATGAAGGACTTCATTTTCTGATCGAGCATGGTTGGATGATTATGAGAGTACTGTAGCAGGATTATTGATCGATAATTGTGGCAACCCCACATCATGTCGATTTAATTTGATAAAGACAACACAAAATGCAATCCATATACCACAAAGACAAGGTCCCAATCTTGCAATTCTAGACAATCACCATCCATCCAACAATGTTTATCGCAGACATCTATGGTCCATACTCACTGGTAAGGCCCTTGGACCTGCCGACAATATTCTTTTCAGATTAACAAAAGGATAGATCAAATGGTTGTGGACAATCAATCTAGTCAAGTTCTAGCACTAAATCTCTCTTAGACAAGACCTACAATGGTGGAACCCATCACTCAACATATATGTGAACCATGATTAATCAAGTATTGGAAAATTTGTCTCTCAAACTACAATGTATAGGAACTCTGGTAATATATCCTTACTTTTGCTTTATTTGACATCTTCTGATAGACACACATCCTCCATCAGGTCCCACCAAGGTGGTCCTTAATCAAAGATGTGATTATTATCATCAGACCCATATGCAACTAGTTGGGTGGACTCGAATAACTTGTTTTACCAATTTATTCTACATGGGTCCTCATGTATTTTTGTTCTAAGTCTATCTTTCATATCTTTTACACTTTGTCCATTAATATTTTTTGAATATTCACCTCATCATGTTAGACCTTTCAATTTATGGTTGATTATATCTTTGGGTCATTATCCATCTAGGGCCCTGTATGTTTGAGCCTACTCTTTCATCTTTTTTTTAATGCATAAATAACTTGTATACTTCATACACATCTACTTGAAAAAATAAATCATACCCTAATTGGAGAAATTTTTGATATAGAGA